AAATAAAATCATCCATAATGACCTTAATGTACCATATGTTTCCGATTTAGCTCAATCCAGATACCTGTCCTTTCATAATAAACTTCTGAACCATCCGAACCCTCTCGTTTCCAACCTTGCCTCCTCTTCTATTCCTGATAACCCTCCGAGGCGTCTAAAAAGAAGATGGCCTCGGGACCTTCTAATATAGAAATATAATTTGAGTGCTAACAATGGGTAGTTTCTCCTCATGTTATACATGTCATATTACTTGTTCATATTTACTTGTTGTATTTATTATTAATTACAGTTGTAAATTTCGTTAATAAAAAAAAAAAGGTTTTTAATATGACTAAATAAAACCTAACCAATTTTTTTTTTTTTTTTAAGATTAATTGATATTTTTAGGGCTCAATGACTAATTTAATTTTTTTTATTTCAAATAGACACTCGTCAAAAATAAACAAATAAGATTAATTCAATTTACAACATTAAATTACAGACGCAGATGGACGCACCTGCGTCTGTAATTTAATGGAACGCCTGGAATCTGTTTTAATATTTTTTAAGAATTCTGGTCTTAATAAAGAAATAGATGTTAGACCTGCGGTCGGCTGCGATAAAATATGGACCAACAAAATATTTTTTTTTCTATTCTATTTTTCTATATATTATTTTTCTATATATTATTTTTTCTATACTTTTTTCACTCAGTGTATCGTTTGGAATAGCTGTTCATGATTATAAAAAGAAATCGTACCAAACATTCAACATGTGAGTTAAAATAATAATAATAATGTCGAACATTTTTCGTTGTAATTCAAACATTAGTCCATGGTCGGATTCGAGAGGCTAAAACGTTAAAAATCAATATTATACTGATTGAATTAGTGAAATATCTTAGATAACTAATCTATTTTTGATTGAAGAAAATAAAATAATTTTTTTAATACCTTAAAAAATCGATAATACCACTGTGGTTCCAAACTCGATTTTTTGGATATAATTCTATAACTCCGATTTTCTTCAACAGATTTCCTTGTTTCTTCGTTTTATAGCATGAATACTAAATATATTCCATTATCTGTGCAATGAATATAAAGAATTATCAGAAATAATATATGAAAATACAAAAATAAATGACACTATGGTAGAGAATGTGAGTTATCTTACATTAAAATTCAATTTTTGTTTCCTCACTACCAAAGGTAGGGAAGCATTATATACCTGCGAGAGGTTAAAAAAAATGGTGCTCAGAATCGAAAATTTCCTCTCGCGTTTTACATTTCAGACATTAAAGATCAAATTAGGTTCAGTGTCTGTTTGTCTGTCTGTCTATCTGAAGTCAAATTAATTATCCGATTTTCAGAAATTAAGCGGTTTGGAGCCTAGATTGGCCCATATTAATTTTATCAAATTTGGTCCAGCACTTCCGCTTGCTCACGCGTAAATGTGTTTTCATAAATATGCCAATATTTCAGAAACGGCTCGTTTGATTTGGCTCAAAGTTGAAAGAAAGGTGGATTTTGGTAAAATAATGATTCTAAATATATTTTATTGAATTTCCTTATCTATTTTCTCTAATATATGCGCGTTATATAACGCGTCTTCCTCTATTCCTACATATATATTACTACTGCAAAATGTCGCAGTGGCGGACCCAGGAATTTTCTCAGGGAAAGCGCACATCTCTACCAGGTGCTAACCCCACCTCTACCCACTCCCCCACCACTACTCATCTCCCCCCACTCCTTAGCTGAGTTTAGCAGCTCAAAATCCCTCTTTAAATGGTTTTAACAAAAGAAAACTCCATTTTCATATAAAGTAATTTTTTTCTAGTTTACAGTGAACCAATATTTAATTACTTAAATTAGATAGTTTTTCAGTTATCATTTTCTATTCAACAAAAAACCTGACACATAAAAAATCACAAAACTTTAATTCTCTACTCTCCTGCTGAAAATCGAACCATTGTTTATGTAACCTTTTTTTGTATTTATTGAGTTCTGCTTTCACTCCTTTAAATATTTGCCTCTACTTACGGGACACCATGTATATGGTTTTAGACATTTAAAAAATGAAATTGCTAACACGGGCCACCAAGAGAAAACTTTTTACAGCTAAAAAATCCAGATTTATCTGATCTTTTTTTTCATGTATTACTTCTAAAGAGTACATCGTGCAAAAAAAGTTTTTATTTTTTTTTATCTTATATATGTGAGTTTAGACATGTAAAAAACGAAATCGCTAACGTGGGTCTACAAGGGAAAACTTTACAGCCAAAAATGTCAGATATTTTTTTTTTTTCAACTATAATTCCTAAACGATACATTAAGGCGAAAAATACTCTTTTTAAGAAATTACAGAACGTTAAATTGTGCGTCGAATGAGTACCTAAACTTAATAATTTGTTTAAGAGGTATGGTAGAAAACCATGGTCATCCAACTCAAAAACTTGTCAAAAACTGTGACAAATTACTATAAATGGCCCTGTTATTTGGAAATGAATTCCCTAAGAGAAAAAAAAAACATAGAATCAGAGTTGTCGAGCTTCAAATTTAGCTTCCACAGAGTACTAACATTTTTATTGTAGGCCATTTATATATCTCGAATAGGGATTAGTCATTTCTTTATGAAATTCGGTATAATTCGACACATCGTTAATTCGTTTATCAAAATCCTTCGCTTCTGAAAGGTGAAAAAGAGGCTTATACTGCACGTAACACTGTGAACAAAAATAACTCAGAAGAATAGACACCCATACTGTTGAAATATTGAAAATCATGTATACCTTCATTACCAATTTCTAACCATCGGGAGATTACCAATTTTGTTCGGATTAAGTGACCTGTATTAAAATATTTGGTACTCAGTGGAAGCAAAATTTGATGCTCTACAACTTAGATTCTATGGATTTTTCCTCATAAGGAACTCATTTCCAAGTAACAGGGCCTATTATAGTAACTTGTCACAGTTTTTGACAAATTTTATAAAATTCAGCGTTGGTTGATCGAACGAGCGTTGGTTTTCTATCATACCTCTTAACCAAATTATTAAGGTTTAGGTACTCGTTCGAGGCACAATTTATAGTGAGACTGAGACAGATTACTATAAATAGCCCTGTATTTATAGTAATCTATCTCAGTTTTTGACAAATTTGGTAAAAATCAGCTTCCCTTGGTAGCACGTGTTAGCAATTTTGTTTTTTACATGTCTAAATCCATATATACATGTTATAAAAATAAAAACTTTATCTCTTTTTTTGCAATGGATTTCCCGTTTCGATTCCCAAATTAATGGCCTAATATTCTTTAAATAGTATGGTTATATTCTTTAAATATTATGGCCGCAGCCATTTTTTAAAGCAGCGGCTCTGGAATGACAGACAAGGTTCATTTTACTTAAAATAACGTACACTGTCATAATTTACATTTAAATCTACTCCTGCGATCAGGTCGATTTGTGGGCCCTGGCTCCAGGGCTATAAGTTGGTAAGTGAAAGTTGTGTGATGCGTGCACCGCACCAGGTATTTTATTCCACATATCTTGAAACGTTAAAACTCATATTTTGAGGGTTGACTTTTTGTCTTGGACGATTCCAAAGATTGTTAATCGAAAATAATAAACCAGGGGTTGAAATTTTTATTGAAAAATTTGAAAAAGTTCCATTTTTACAATTCTTGTGAAACTTTTTAAGAAAAAAGTTGTTAAAAGAAAAGTTCTATGGAACTTTTTTTTAAAGTTCTAGATTTACGGTAAAATTTTAACTTTTATTTATATAAGATATTAAAACAAGTTTCGTTAAATGACAAATAAACAGTAATTGGGATTAGATTAGAGTTATAATCTATCCTTCATTAATTATACATGACTCTTATGCTTCGTTTGATTAGTTAAGAATCAAAATTATTTTTGAGATCGACTTTTCAGTGAAATCGTCACACCTTTTAAATAAAAGTCTTGTAAGTGAAGTAAAACCTTCATTGAAAAATCACAAGGGGAAAAAGTTCTAGTTCCAAAAGAGCTGAAAAACTATCGACAATAAAAGTTTCAATGATCCCAAACTTTTTAAAAGTGGAAATTTTTTTTTCCATTTCTAGCGTAATAAACCAAAAGGAATAAGTTAATGGATATCACTAATAAAATGCTTTCTGAAGATGTAGAAAATTCCCTGAAACGTTAATAAAAAGTTATAATTGGTTTTTTATTTGTAAAATTAAGGAAGTCTAGTTCCTAAAATTTAATCAAAAACACAGCAGGGTAACTGGTGAATTTTTGATGTATATATTTTTATGCTCACATATTTTTTTAAAAAGTGAGTTTTTTAAAGGTTTGAATATCGTTAATAATGAAAACATACCGATTAATAAAACAAACGACCACTAATGGATCCAGGATTTAACTTTGGGAGGATTCAGCTCGAAAGAATTTTTCATATGTATGTATCAGAAGAATTACTTCGGAAGAAAGAAAGAAGCTAACTACCTTTATGAAACGATGTTTAAGTCATTCTTTAATTTAAGTCCTATTTAAATGTAATTAGACGAACAATAATACTTTTAGAGATAATTTTTTTCATAAAATATGGTTATATTTTATCATTTTGAAGGGGCTTCAGCACGAAAATACCCCTCCCTCTCCTCCCATAGATCCCCTATGAAAATGACCTTCTTAAACAATGACCTAAAGAAGTGACTGAAGAGAAAGGTTACACAGACACTTTCTATTTTCAGTTGAAATTCTTCCCCTTTTGAAAAGGAGGATGAGGAGAAGGGGGGGGGGAGAAAAAGCCGATTCTCATCCAAATGAGATGATAACTTAGGAAAGGTATTGCGAATTTGTATCAGGATATATGAGATTGAATGAATTGGCTCAATAGCAACACAATATCTTTGTTAGATATGCATTATCACAGCCAATTTTTTCAAGAATGTCAGAAATTGAAATTAAATCTATTATAGTTCTACAATCAATTGGAATGATTCTCATTATATGGATATATATATGTTCAAATTTAAAGAAAAAAACATAAAATATATTGTCAATAACATCAGTGAAGTTGCCATTAATATGGAATGTAATAATATCAAATTCAAGGGATTAATACCTCTACCAACACTGTTTGATTTTTCTAGAGGTAACACATCGGTCGAATTCCATAATTCACATAGATTCGTACTATACGGTAAATCGCGAGAATTTACGTGAACGAGGGTAATTCAAAACCTGCTCATAATCAGTGGGTGATTTGAATTAAATAAAATAAACAATATCAAAGTTTACAAATCGAAAATTGTACACATCTTATTTTATTATATCACTTCTCAAGTTATTCTGAATATCATTGTATCTCTGTTGTAAAAAATAATTTGTCAAGGTTTTTAATTCTTTTTTCACTGTAAGCAACCAGTTTACTTAAGCATTGAAAACAAATAACGTAAATATGTCGGATATTGGAAAAAGGATTCGCATTGAAAAAAGTAATTTTCATAGTTATGATAAGGTAAATGAAAAGTTAGAAAATCGGTTATCGGCAATGGAAAAAAAGGTAGATTTTCTAATGACTACATGTACCACTATCCTTAGTACATGTGAGAAAATTTTATCAAAAGAGAAAACAGAACATGATTGCTGTGCAACTCTGTTACTACCAAAGATTTTGTTTATAGATGATTATTTGAGAAATCTTCATAAAACAGATATCCTCACTGATCCTGATGGGTAATATTTTACTAAAAATAGCTCTTAGAATGCAGTTATCAATTGGAAAATCAATAAAACTAGTTAAATTGCTATTATTGAAAATTTGTTACAGTTCAAATCCAGTTGGTTTTTTGCAATCTGATAAAGTGACTAATAGTGACAGTGTTCAAATTTTGACACTTAATACAGAGGAAGATTTGCCTGAAGGTTCATGGTTAGGTGATGTTTCCAATCCTAAAGCAAGAGTTCGAGTAGATATACCTCCATCGTAAGTTTCGCTTTGTGTATTTGAAAATCACTATTTGCACCCTTAAACTTCAGATAAATTTGTCGTTTGTGCAGGCTGCTTATGCATATCAATGCACATTGCTTGACTCCTGAAAAAATGGCCCTTACACTTCTTGATTCGTTATTTCCCCGAGAAGTGCTTGCTGTGTCTAATTTGTCAGGAAAAGGTAAACATAGTAAAAGACAACTTGATCCACTTTTGGTAAGTTTTAATATTCCTATTTATTTATTATTTATTCAAAATTGTGTTTTCAACAAAAAGAATGATTTCTCAATTATATCCATTAATTTTTAATATTTCATCTTATGAGTTATGTATGCCTGAAAACTAGTTATTATTGTCCTTCTGGTGTAGAAAGACTGGTTGTCACATTTATAAAATTGTGCATTAGATGACTAGATATGATTTTTCTATAAAAGTTCTTTGCAATTCTCACAGTTTTTATCATATTACCACTCATTATTTAAAGAACTGTGTAGTTTTGAATTTTAAGCTTTGTAACACTGAGAAGAGAATGTACGATTTCATAATGATCAATACAAAACTCATTTTAAGAAATGACAGATTTATATTATTGATCAGAATAGAAAACCTATGATAATATTTTTTGTTATTTAAGAAATTCCACTCATTAAAGTAGTTTATTCAGATTACCGTAAGTATGGACCTCGTATTGCCCAACACTATATGCCAATAGATTATAGTGTTTGGTTTTATTAATTCGGTTATACAGTACCACTTTAAAACATGAAATGGTAATGAATATTTCCATGTGTAAATAAATTATTTGTCATTTATATCATGTATGTGACTTCCTTTATTAGATTACCATGTTTTAGTCAGTAACACAGTTATTTTGTTTAAGATAATTGTTTTGGGTACTAATTGACAAGTGCCATATCTGTTTCATAGGTGGTTCATTTTGACATTGATGTCATCTTAACATTGATCACATTGTGCATAGAATCCTAATAGAAGCCCTATGTCCAAATATGTATATAAGGCTCCACCTTAAGTGGCAAGGTCCTGTTGAGAATTTAATTGTCCCTTCAGTGACAGCCCATCCATGATCAAAGTTGTCAATACTTAGCTACTTGCAGAATCCCTTCGACTGTATAACTGATGTGATCTTGGACCACCTGTTAACCAGATATGGCTCTTTTAAGCCAGTACCAAAATTCATTTGTTAGAAAAAATTTTCTCCTTGAGGCGTGAAGTGTGGGTTAAAATTTTAACCAGATATAGCACTTTTAAGCCAGTACTAAAATTCGTTTGTTAGTAAATTTCTTCTCTTTGAGGAGTGAAGTGAGAGTTAAAATATGCTTCATTTACATTAATTTTTAATTTGATTATTGTTTGAATTTGTTTTATGTTTAAAAAAAAAGATTTTCGTGGGAGAAAAGCATTGAGAATAGTTTCAAAGCAAGAATAGAATATAGCTACAATGAATGAGAAAGGCTAATTTACAATAAGGTGCTAGGAGGAAAAGCTATTAATAATATTTCAAAAGGAGCAAATGCTCCAATATTATCCATACCAACAGGAAATTGCCAACAAAGATAAAATCCACGGAGAAATGGAAGAGTTCATGTGTATCATTTCTGATTAAGAATTCCATGGAAATAATTATTATCTTAAACTAAATGCTCAAAATGTAAGGGAATGAATTTATGCTGAAGCTTACAAAATAGTGTTTGGTTACTTGATGAAGGATAGGATGCCATATGATATTGTCCATATTTGAAATAGTAAAATCTCCTTTCCCAACAAAGTAGATAGTTGATTAGAATGTTAAAATTACAGTGATATCTTGTTAATCGAGCCTATTACGTTTGACAGATAAGCATGTAAGCCATATAGAACGTATGACAATATCAATAGACGAAAAAAGATAATTTGCCTAAGAATATCAGGTTTAGTTAGGTTATTAATTAAGCTAGTAATAACTTTTTGCTAAATCGGTTGCAAGTTAGGATAAATAGTCTCTCTTAAACATTGAATTTAGCTAATGAATAAGAAAGAAAGATCTATTAATAGTATTATTTTATTGAATTGAAACTTTTATAAGACAAGAACTAATCCAGGATGATGTATGGACAGAATTTATCTACTACCTTTACTGAACCTTTAGATAAACTTGTTAAGCTGCCAATGAATTATTTCTGGAAGCAAATTCTAATTAGACAGCATTTATGAATTCTAGAATATTTGAGCAGTTCGGACTGAGCGCATTAATTGTTAATAGTTATTCTCGAGAATATATCTTTTAGAAGCAAGATTATTTTTTTTAGTATTAAATTTTTTAAAAAATTAAATTTTTAGGGATTATGATCTTACAATAATATTTGATATTATTTATGCTAAAAATATACATCTTTTAGATTTTTTTTTTTTCTAACCTCCCAAAATATTTATTTAATTAAATTACATATATAAGTATAGCAATACTAATATATACAAATAACAAAGTTCTTTCACTGCCCGAGGGCATTTTAAGGATTGGGGATAGCTAAGGATAACATATGTGGCACAAGGCCTTGTAATTTTCATTGAACGGGGAGGGACCGTTCTGCTAATTATTTATTATTTACAATATTTACAAATATACACATTAATGGGTTTGGACCGCAAAGTCCAGCCACATCCTTCGGAGTGTATGTCCACCAAAGAGAGTTTACCTTACCACCTCCTAGGTCTGGGTGGTGGTGAGATCTCATTAAACAGTAGATTTGCACAGGCCTTCAGTCCATCAAAAAATTTGATGTGCTTCCGGCCTATGGACTCAGGTACCGAGGGGAGCTGGAGCTCCTCGCGTATTGTTTGATTCTTAGCCCTTTGTAGGGTGGTGCCAGGGACAATTCGCCGAAGGATAGAGTTCTGGAACCTCTGTAGACTCGTAAGCATGGATTTATATAGGTATCGCAGGAGAGGGGCTCCTTGGAGCAGTGTAGGTCTTATTATAGCTTTATAAATTTGGAGCTTGAGTCTCAGTGAGAGCTGTGGCGATTTCAGTAGGTGGTAAAGCCGGTGCGACTTCTTCCGTGCCAGCTTGATCCTCTGCCTAACGTGATTGGAGAAGGTTAAATGTGTATCTAGCGTGACGCCAAGGTAGATAAGCGAGGTGGAGATTTTATGATAAGCTCCTCTAACAGTGAATTGTGTGGGTAGATACTTCTTTCACTTCTGGAACGACATGACAATAGCATCAGTTTTTGCAGGGTTCACTCTGATACTGATCTCTTCTAGTTCTTCAACAATTGTGGCTGAAGCATTCTGTGCCAAAGTGAGTGCAGTCCCTGTGTTGATGCTGGAAGCATATATGCCAATGTCGCCCGCATAGGCTGCTATCACCGCCTTTGGATGCTTGAGTGCCACTACTGGTGCTGTGAAAATGACAAACAGTATTGGCCCCAACACAGACCCTTCAGGTACTCCGCAGGTGGTATCGACTAGGGTTGAGTAGTCTAGTCTTTATCAACTCGTATGATAAGAGATCTTCCGGTATCCAAAAATTATTCAAATTTGGATATTTCTCTGGTATGAAAGGAGTTTTTATTCATTGAGACTTAGATGCTTTACAAAATTAATAATAATAAAAAGCATATTAATTGAAAAAAAATATGGCGAAATAAAGTGATCAGGAGAATACCTGGAGTAGTTAAACATGAAAATCACTGGTAAATTAGGAACTGTGAGATATCTTTACTGACTCAGTAATAATCATTCATCAAATTAAAGAGGATTCGATGATTGGGACATGTAAAAACTTGGGTCTGAACTACTATCCAAAAAATTGTTTTATCAAAATACTTACATTCTATCTTTTAATTGAAAAAGAAGACATTTATTTATTTTTTTATTAATATACATCACTAACATAATATAATGATATTTCCTGGTTAAATTATTTTCTTTTCATTAGATTTATGCTATAAGATGTCATTTGGCTTACAAGTTTAAAATTACTGACAAAGACTGGCATCGTATAAAGCAAAATATTGATTCAAAATGTAGAGCAGTATGGCGAAAGAAAGCACGAGGTTTACCTCTTGGAGGTGGAACCAACAAGGTAACTTTTTTAAATACAGCAAATAAAATGTTAAATGTTTTTAATAACAATTATCAATTCTACTATATTATTTTTTTCTTCAGTCTTCAATGATGCTGAATGATGCACTTAGTGAAGAATCTTCAGATGGTGTAAGTTGGAGCTTGTTTTAATAATGAACCAGATTAAAATAAAATAAGTAAACTGTATATTTTTCTTTTATATATATATATATATATATTTCTTTTTTGTTAAAGGCTTCAAACACTAGGGTCCTTATTGCCTTACTTTCTTCATTGAGAATCAGATTCTATTTTCAAGTTTCAAACATTTCAGAAAATAAAATAATTTGTCAATTTCATTTGTATTGTAAAATGATGTGTAGATCGTTTGTCAAGTCACTTCTGTATTCTTTGAACTGTAGTTAAATTGGATTTTTTCTATGATCTAGAAAGTATATGTTTGAATAGTATTTATTTTACTATATACAATTCTTGTTACCTAGCATTATTGATAACAAGAATACAATACAATTATTATAATCTATCCTATTACTTATCTTTGTTGCAGATAATTAACATTAGTTCAATTAAAGTTTTAAGAAACAACAGTAGTAACAGTAACAAACTAATACACATTCAGGATAAGCATACTGTTAAAGTGTTTTCTGATGAAGAGTTTAAAGAGCTTTTACGGGTAAGATTGCTGTTCCACAGTATCATATGCTTATGTAACTTCACAACACTATCTGATTTTTGCTTTATTTTTTTCTCAGTCTCCTGTGGAGCTGTTTTCAGTTGAAGATAGTGAATGTTTCAATCTAGGTGAACATTCTTCAGTTATCCAGGATGCAGCAGATAACTCTGAAAACAGCACCGACAAAACTATGGATGATAGTCCACTTTTTCAAGAAAAAAGAACAATTAACCTTGATTAAGTATTCTTTTAATACTAATTATTGTATTGATTATTCAATTTCAGTGTATGAAAAATGTACCAGAAGCTATTTTTATCTGGTACAAGTTATTGGATGTTGTGGTGATCCTTATGTTAGGCTAAGCACTGGTAAAATGGAATCATTATATCTTTTATTCCAATCTGTGCTGTATATGATTTTCTGATTTAAAAAAAAATTATAATCATAAGCTTAAGTGGCTGTGCTATATTTGTTTACTAGACTAGTTGAAAAAATTAAGTTTTGTTAATGAAGAAGTACATTGTTATTTTATTCAGTATACTGTTATAATTATCAAAAACAGGTTTTATCTGTGAAGTAGTTTTGTTAAGTGTCTATATTCTGAAAATTCTTTTTAGTTACACTTCTTAATATTTTGAAGTTTCAAATAGTTAAAATTTTGATATAGCTCTTGTAGTGTTAGGAAAAATTTGATTAACCCTCAAAGAACTAAAGTATATTTGAATAAGGGTGGTACTGTTATCTAACCTTTAAGAAGTTTATAAATATGTTTATTTGAAAATGTACACTTATGTTATTAGGTTAGTACAAAGAAAGGAGGTAAAAATCCTTTACTTTTTTTTTCAAGTATTTGCAATGTCATTATCATTCTTGCACGCATTCTCCAGTTCATGTAAAATTAATATATATATGTGTATATATATAAAGTCTTATGATTCACTTTCATTTTCATTTATGGTTTTTTGGTCAGTGGATGTAGTAACCATAAAAATGAAAACTTTTATTTTGTTAAAAATACGTTGTCTGGAAGTGGTGGGTTATAGATTTTATTGTAACTTGAGACCTGAAATTTGTTTATCTTCTCTTATAAAATTTTAATTTTCCAAATTATGCCTATTGAACTAAACTCTGTTATTATTAATGATTTTTATTGATAAAAAATAGTTCATCTAACATGAGTAACAATAGTTCAAATAATTTCTTGAAAAATTGGCGATGTGCCATTGGCTGGATGTTGAATGAAGCCAAATATGTAGTGCCAAATACTCGATTAATTTTGTCATAAAATTATATTCCTGTCATGAATTGGATTGAATTTCCCTCAATTTTTACGTCAAAACATGTTGAGTGCTTAAAAGAGTTCATGAGAACGATAATGGTATCAACAAAATTTTGCAGAGCTTTTTCATCTCCTCACTTTTAAATTAGGATTAAATAGTTGAACCCTAGTTATCTATATTAAACATTAAAACTCTTGATGTAGTAACTGGCTGCGAAACTTTCTTCTGATTCCTGGAACTTATTCCTTATTAGTTCAGGTTTGGAATAGAATCACTTGGCCTTACGAAGGTAATGGACTTCTGAACCCTATAGATTTGAGGGATTATTATCTTCATTGTCTCTACATGTCATCTTTCTAGGAACAGAATAGTTAAAAATAGTTGTTACATCTCTTTAAAGAGATGTTGTACCACAGGTTTTGAATTTATTTTATGTAAACGGCTAATGATTTTATAAACCAGAATGTTTCTTAATTTTCAATCCTTTGTTTTTACTTTTCCTTCTTTCTACATTTTACATTTGTCTCAGTCATTTAAGTTGCTAGCTGTGATTAAACTTGTTTAGGGATAATTTTAAGGATTGTTTAATTGTTAGTGAAGAGACTAAAATTGTGAGATGACATTTCAAGAAAGAAAGACTGTAACAGTTGTATTTGATATTTTCCTTTAAACTGTAAAAATCATTTGTAATTTTAATTTTTATCCTAAAGTTCTCCTTTATTCTTATTCTAGTTGCTTTAAATTACAAAGGGAAAATTAAGTTAATTGATTGTACTGAACTGCAGTATAAAAACAAAAAAGTGGTCACTTCATTACGTATTTTGGTTTCCAATCAGCTAATAATTAGCATCCCCACAATATTTTCAATAAATAACAGATATTATTTAAGACTAACGATGATTATAGTTAAAACTATATTTCTACATTTAAAAAACTGATTTCTATAAAAATTTTAATTGAAAATAAATCCTCTTCTTGTACTTTTTACAGCTAAGACTTGAACATCATTAAATTTTTAATAAATTCTAGATTTATTTTCGTATTCTTCTCTAAAAACAACATTAAATTCTCAAAACAATCCTGGAAATTTTGTCATCCTATGGAAATCCGATGTAATCTAAACCTGGATCATATCAACCTCTTTACATTGGATTGCTTCATATGTGAGAGAAGAGTGACCACTTTTTTTTAAAAATATATTTATACATATTTGATTTATTTTCAAGTAAAGATATAGTAATTGATATACATCATTTTTCAATATATTCATGTGGAAAGTATTCGAATGGAGTTTATGTGTAACTCACTACTTAGATTGTCTTTTCTTTTCTATAATAATAAAATCGTTTATCGAGTATAAACATAGAAATGCATTTATATGTTGTGAAATAAAATTACTGCATACATCACAGATTGATTTTAGCTAACCCTTTAATAGTTTATCTCTCATCTGTCAAAACTCGTTTTCACAGATGAGAAAACGTAGCTATAACCAGAAAATATATATATTTTTTTATATTTGTTTCTTGTATCAATCAATGTTAAAATGATTGTATTAGGTGTGATAATTATAGTTTATACTAAAGTTTTTAGTATTCTAGTCTACTTGTATAGAAATCAATGCCTTATTTTTTTTTTTCAATAGTTTACTGATTAGTTATCAAATGTTACATAAATTATTTTATTCTTTTGTAATTTCTGATTATTTTTCTTGAAATTGTAAATACATTTAAAATTTGTAGCTGTCTATGGATATGTGTTACTTCATTAGACTGATATCTAAGAATAGAGTGGTATTAATCACGAACAATTTTGTCACCATTGGTGCACATTAAGGAAGTATTTCATACAGTATTAAATGTTCAAATAAACTATACAAATATCTCAATATAACTGCATAAGTCAACAATTTTCTATCACCAATCATCTTTCATATTATTCCTATCATTCTATAAGAGATAAATAAATGTAGATTTAATTTTCCAAATATCCACCAAATCAATGATTTTTTAAATTTATTTTAATTAAAACGTTGTATTTTAAGAAAACACATATATTATGAAAATTAATTTAAAAGATAACAAAAGTGGAGACTATCTACTAAGTGTGAAAACCTGTGTGGCAGCATTTTTTGAAGTAATGCTGAGCAATTGGAACTTCACACATTCTAAGCTCTATCACTTAAGTCAAATCTATTCACTCCAATCCACGATGAGTGTCAATAGCAGTTTCAAGATTTAATTTTGTGGATAGGAAGAGCTTTTTATAATGAGATAATTACACTGAAAGAAACTATATGAAATTATATTTAAGTGATCATTGCAGGCCAATTAAAAAAATAAATAGTAATAAAGATTTTCTTGACACGTGCTTACATTTAGTAGCTGAGCTGTACACTATATGTTCCATAATTTTAAAATATAACATACTGTGATTGTTTAAGTATTTAGCTCGGATCAACAAATACAGAAAACTTTTTTTTTGGGAGGGGGGAAAGAAGGTCTGAGAGGATAGCAGCCCAGGGCTGGAAAATTAGCTGGAGTGAAGAAGTACCAAAAATTTCTTTCGAAACGGTCAAATTGAAACTTTTTAGAAATTTTCATAAAAGTTCAAACCCTAGTTAGAAGAGATTGATGTTAATAAATTTAGAACATGAATCTCTAGAAATGAGATCCTTCAGGACATAAATTTAACTTATCAGGAAGAATAATTGGGTGAGAGATAGAAAAGGAACAGAAGCAAGAGTCGTGGTAAAGAAAGAAGCCACGAGACTTGCATGAGAGGGAGGGGGAGGCTACAGTCAGTGGGCCACCAATTTCAAACAAATTTTCTTAGGTGATTCCTGCAGAAAATTTTAATTTTTTGATTGTTATAACAATATTTTCTTTCTCCCTTAAAATATATATTCCCAAATTTCTATATCAGTTACTCTAAAATGTTATATGCCAAATATAATATTTATTCAAAAGCAGTCTGGTATCTAGAGTAAATATTTTTTAGGAAGAAATAAAGTTAATATTGTTTTTTTGCACCTAAAAAACCCTTAAATACACTCCCCCTCCTCCCCAAAAAAGTCTTTTTTCATTGGTCTCTATTTTTTTTCTGTGAGTGACCTGAGCTAAATACTTAAACAATCATAATACTTTATATTTAAAAATTATAAAGCATGTAGTGAAAAACTACTAAATGTAAGCAGGTTTAAAAATTTGGTTGAAAGCTGTGTGACCCACTGACTGTAGCCTCTCCTTGTTATTGAAATAATCCTACACAGCCGATTAAAGAGTAGAATATAAAGTTTATTTACAATTGGTTCTGAAAAGTTTTATTGATTGCATTAAAATCAATTGATAAATGCATGACATACAATGTACAGTTCAAATTATTATCAGTTTAGGATTACTTTTCGAATATTTAAAAATAATTTTACAATTCAAAAGAAATTTAATAATACTCTTCTTAAAATAACAATCACAGAAATTTAAAAAGACTTAGGAATAAAAACAAAGGAACTGGAAAGAAAAACAAAAAAAATCCCTTACAATAAAAATTATATAATTTCATTATATCACCTCTTTTTGTTTTTTAAATAATATTTTTTATTATTATATGTTCTTAAAATAAAACAAACATTTCATATATTAGAAGCATAAGCAACATTATGCTAGTGAATTTAATAATATATAAGACAAGAATACACAAGTAACTGAAACAGATACTAATTCAGTAATAATCTTACCAGGTTAATTTTAAGAATTAGATAAACAAAATAACCTATTGGCTTCCAGCAGACATTTTACAAAGGAAATCCATTGGAAACATATCCAATTCTCCATTACTGAAACTAACAACACCCTCAACGTGGTCAATTGATACCAGCCTGCCAGTCTGATCCTTGTCTTTCTTTCCTTTGATCACCTTTACTGTATCGTTTTGTTGTGGTTTAACTGGTGCCAATCTGTCACTTGTAATAGTAACAGTCCTATCTTCCGCTAACAAGAAAAGTGTACACATTCCTCCCTGTAAAAGAAAAAAGAAGTACAGATAAATTCTATCGGATTAGTAACATTTTTATTAATCTCTTTAATCGATAAATTCTTACAGAAACTGTTTTTACAGTTCCAGTCTGTCCAGATAAGCCATCATCATCATGAGACTCTTTTATGCGCACTTCAATACCAGTTGTTACCCAATCACCGTCAGATGAATCTGAACCTAATTAACATGAAATATTAAGTTAATAACATTACACCAACAAATTTAGTGAAAACTTAATGAGAAAAAAATATTCCATTGAAAACAATTATTTAAATGGTATTTAAAAGATACATACTAGATTGATATGGAGAAGCACTGCTTCCTGGAGTGCGTGGACTGTATGATGTAGGAGAAGGTGTTCCAAAAGGTCCTATACCACTACCAGGGGATGCTGAAGCAGCATAACCGGAACTTCCACCTATTACCGAACAGACAAAACTCTTTTGTAGTATAAAGTATGATTAGGAGTGTATAATAATACTACCTGGAGGAACATTGCAAATGCAGTGGTATTAGATAATTTAAATTATAATTTTGTAACTATAGAAAATGAATAAATCAAAATATTAACACTAATAAACACATTTTTAAAAAATCTGCTAAAAGATGAGCAAAAGTATTTTTTCTCAAATTCAAATTTTTCCAATAATGCATCTGTAGCATGATACTAAAAGGATCAATGTCAATTTTGCAGAGAAGAAAAATTCTGGTGTCACAAAAAATATTTCAAATAGTTAGATATACCTAGTTCTGTCATAAATATTGTTACAAAAGTTGAACTTTGTTTACATCCTTGGGTATTATTTAGATAATCCTTATCTCTATCAGGTTATTTTCTTTACATGTCAGGATAATAATCCCAATTTGTTTGTATTTTTCTTTCAGGCAGTTAACTTGGAGTGGGGTAATAAAGAAAACGGAATAGCTGTGATCGCCTTACAGAAAGTTGGAAGATGTAGGTCAGAGATTTTCAACACTTTGAAATCTTTTGGTATCAGCCGTATGTTTGTGTACCACACTATAAACAGATATAATGAGAGCCTATCTATATGTGACAGACCTCGACCGGGCAGTCCCCGCACTGTGAGAACGGCAAATGCAGTGAGAGCAGTGGCTGCTCGATTCAGAAGAAATCCCATAAGAAAACAACAAATCATGTCTCGGAAAAAATTCAAATTTTGATTTGTCAGTCAACAACACTTTGAAACGATTACAATGGACCAAAAGACATCGACATTGGTCTGTAGAATAATGGTTGAAAGTGTCGTTGACTGACGAATCAAAATTTGAACTTCTTGGAAGTAAACGTAGGCAGTATGTTTGCCTTACGTTTTGTTGCATGACAATGCCAGGCACATGTCTCACATGTGATGTCACAAAAACTGTTGGAGCTTGGTTATGAAACTGGCCCTACTCTCCGGACCTCTCGCCTATGGATTATAATTTTTTTTGGCACCTGGACCACTACCTAAGAGACAAAAGTTAAAAAGACAAAGGAATTAGAAAATATGTTTTTGGAGTTTATCAATTCTAAAGATTGGAAATTCTATTCTGAGAGAATGGAAAAGTTGAAAAAAGAAATGTATTGATAGTAGTGGAGACTATTTTGAGTAAATATTTCTTTTTTCTTTTTAAACCAAAATCTTGCATTATTTTCCCGTGAAACCCAATAGAATTGCTGGTAAATATTGAAAACAAATAATAACAATTTTTTACAGTGTTTATCACACAAATATGGATCAAAAACCAGAAATGAGTGTTTAAACACATGCCATTATTGTTGCATTACATAGGGAAGGCAATTCGACTAGACAAATTGCATCTAAGCTTAATGTTTCTCAGAGTACTGTGATATGAAGATTGAAAAGAAAGAAAGAAACTGGGCAAAGAACCGCCAATGATCTGGGAGACCTAGAGTGACGTCAAAACGTAAGTAAAAGTTTATCAGTGTTCAAAGTAAGTGCCAGCGAACTTGGAAAGTGCCAGAAGTTCTCAAAGAATTGAATGCTTCAGAAAGAAAGCCTGTGTCCATCAGTATTGTGCAACGTCAACTTTGTGATTATGGTTTAAAAGGAAATTGTTAGAAATTAAAAGGTTGCCGCTAGAAAATTCCTAATTAAGAAAACAAAACAAACAAATACAAAGGGCTAAAAAAACATGGAAATTGGTCTGTACAATAATGGTTGAAAGTGTGTAGGACGAATCAAAATTTGAACTTTTTGGAAGTAAATGTAGGCAGTATGTTTGCCTTATGGTAGGTGAATGCGTGATAAATCAATTTATAATATTAACTGTAAATCATAATGGAGGATCAATTATGGTTTGGGAACATTTTGCCGGTGATAAAGTTTGAAATCTCGTACGAATAGAGAGAGAATACAAAATAATATGACCGAATTTTGCAGTGTCATACTTTTCCATATGGGCAGAGAATTGTAGGTCAAGGATAATTTCCATTTTCCAGCAGGATAATTTTCCGAAACATTCTTTTAAATTGTGAGGAAACTTCATTGAAACAAAAGAAAATCAAAAAGTACTTAAATACATGGCGTGGCCACTTCAATCTCCGGATCTCAACCCCATTGCGCTATTCTGGGATAAGCACAAGATAAACGTTCAAAAGATACAATGTACCAATCAAAACAAACTTTCTCAACGAGAACTTTGCAAAAATTAATGGAAAGAATGCCCAAAATATGCAATGCACTGAATAAGTCACAATGGGGATATTTTCAAAAATAAAAAATTGGACAATATTCATAATTTTTAAATAAAATTATAGTTGTTATGATATTATTGTACTTATATTTACAAAAAAAAAAAATTGTTATTTGAGACATACAAAGTTTGTTATTTATTTATTTTACAAAAATCTAAGGGTGTCTAAACTTTTAACCAGTAGTGTAGATAAGTGAAAGTAAAAATAAGGTGTTCCAAATTTTTTTTTCTTTTCTGTGCAAACTAAATAAAATAATAATAAACAAATATAATAGTAATAAACAAACATTCTTTTTAACAATATTCAGAATTTAAAAAAAATTTTTAATATTTTCTCGAACTAAAGTCAAGTTAATAAATTGCTTACTGTTATAACCAGTCGGTGAAGGCGTTGAAGGGAATGGTGAGTAAGAGGATCTATCAGATCCATACATATTAGCTGGTGTATAGGGTCCAGATTTACTATAATCTTCAAATTCTTCTGTTCTACCAGGAGTCGCAGATGGTTCCCAAGCACTAGATCCCCTTTCATCACTAGAATGTAATGGTGTTGCACCGCCAAAGCTTGGTGTTGCACCACCAAAGCTCGGTGTCCTGCCTCCGGCTGAAGCTAAAAAAATAACATTACATAAGATGTTATAAAAACATTATTAGGCTTTATAAGATGTAATTTAATTGATACAATTAATTTTAGAAAATAATTCTTATTAATGGGAATTGGATATATACATATTTTCTAAGTCACAATCAGGTTAATCAGTGAATATTACAAGAATAAGAAGTTCAACCCACAAGTTTGGAAAAGATTTTATTAGTTTTTGTTAGGTGGGAAGAAATATTTGAAAATTAAAAGACATTTACAATTATAAATAAATTTCAAAAATACAATTTGATAAACTCCTAAAGGCTAAAATAGATGTTATATCCTAATTAATAAATACAAAATTTTTGTTTGATGAGGTATTTCTTGGATTAGGATTGCTGCTAAAAGAAACTAATGTTTCATTTGTGATTTACAGAAATAGTTAAAAACTAAAAAGGCTATGATGAAGTTATTAAATCATTTTAAGAATATTTGTTATAAAACTAAAATATTGGAAGACAATTCTCAAGGAAAAATATATCATTAAGTTTAATGTACTTTTCTGTGTGATTCTGAGAGCTAAATCATTAAAATAGGAATGATCATTTCATTATCACTATCAAATAGCATGAAAAACAAAACAACAGATTAATGATTCTACAAAGCAGAGAAGTTCAACAAACAATTTTGTTCCTATTAGTAATATAATATAAGTAGCCTAGTTACAAACACGGCTATTTACACTTAGCAAAATTTTACGGGAGCATACGATATCTGTTGACATATAAAAAAAAAATATTCCAAATTATTTTTATTAAGATACAAAAATGTATCAAATAGTTCGATACATATAACAAATAACAACAAGTAATAACTTTGAGCGTAGTTATTACAATTATCTGTATAGGTTATAATTGGAGAAATTCCAAAATTATCTGTATGGTTTTGGTTTTCTTGGTCTTTAAGTCTTTACAAATAAGTCATTGACAATAATGAAAATTTCATTAGCAATCTCACTACAACAGCTCAGATAGAACAGTTAATACACAAAGAAGCTGTAGTTAAATTGTTCAGAATAACCTATAAAGAAGTTATGTGTTTAAATGTGATATTAATACATTTGGTACTTATTATCCGACTAAATGAAGTGACACAAGGGTTATGTGTTTGGGTTGTTCGCTAAAAGCTATGTAACGTTTTTATGAGCAAATGTCTGGATCGATTTTTTAATTTGATGACCCAAATTATTCAGTGAGATTCCCTGAGTATTTTGAAACAATTTTAACTAAAAATATTAAATAAAATGAATTTAATCAATTTACAAAAAGCTGTGTAACGATTTTATAAGCGAACAGTAGGATTGACTTTTAAGTTTGATATCATAAATTATTCAGTAATATCCCCGGAATGTTTTAAAAGTGAAACAAAACAAATTATATGTGTTTCGGTTGTGCGCTAAAAAGTATGTAAATATTTTTTGAGCAAACGGCTGGATCAATATACATTGAGATCCCGTGAGTGTTTTAAAACAATTTTAGTTCAAAACACTGACCCGTGATTGAATTAAATGTGCTTAATCAATTTGCTAAAATGTATGTAACAATTTTTCAAGTTTTTCACTTCAATTTTTTTTTTCACGGTTGGATCAATAGGTAAGTTTGATATCTTAAATTATTTGGTGAGGTTCCGCGAATGTTTTGGAACTATTTGAACTAATATCACTGGCTCATGATTGAATAAAATGTGTTTAATCAATTTTCTAAATGATAACGGCGTTTTGAGGGAGCTGCTGGATCGATTTTTATACTATGTATATCGATATTATACTGTTTGATATCTTAATTTATACTATGAGATCCTGTTTTGGAGCTCAAAATTCTAGAAAATTACTGTGTAAATTGTGTTAAACCAATCCGCTAAAAGGTACATAACGATTTTTTTGAGTGGATGGCATGACCGATTTTTAAATTTTGATAGCAGTAGTTGCTCTGTGAATGTTTTGAAACAATTTGAGTATAAATTACGGAAAAACTTTTTTATTATAGTTTATGTATCTTGATTATTAATTGATTTGAAAAGATATGATGTCATCCTTTGTTATGAAAATAATTTGTTAATATTTTAAAAATTAAAAATGTTAAAATAAAACAATATTTGAATTTAAAATAAACCAACTATAGAAATTGGCGAATTCTATCCACCCTGGAGGAATGTACTTCCATATCTACTGAAACATCTTGGAAGATCGATAGGTGAATTGACATCTACGAATATTTAAACTTGGTATAATAGTCTGGTCCCTAACACACTCCGAAATAAACTTAAGACTCTTATACATGAGACGAAATATACTTGCCTGGAGCCATAATGTGTAGTGAAAGGTACTAGACTATTACACCAAGTTTAAATATTTTTAGATGTCATTTTCTCTATCAAGATAAGGAAGTAAATTTCCTCAGGATGTGCATTCCCCTAGGACGGATAAAATTTCACAATGTCTGTAGTCGAGTTTTTTTAATTCAAATATTTTTTTATTTTTTAAAAAAGATATACTATTGGCTAGAGAAAGAAACAACGTCAAATTCACTTTGTGACCTTGATGGTGCTTGCCTTGTTTGGAACTAGACAACTCATATATAAAAATATTAAACCAAGAAATTTGTTAAACAACTTTGAAAACAATATTATTATCATATACTTATATTTTATAAACTTGATTCTACACTTACAATCGTACTGAGGTGTCTTCGATCCTGCATATAGTGGAGTTTGGGATCCAGAGTGCATAGGAGTCCTGCTGTAAGTGGTAAAAGATCCATCCTAAAAATAATAAAAAAATAAATTAATAGATCATCTTTTGTAAAGTATAGAATTTTATGAAAAAAAAACTTAAAATGGTATAAAAAAAGAAAGAATAAAATTAAACTTTACCCTATGCCTGTCACCAGCTGAAGCAATATGACCAGTATCAACAGAAATTGTTTGACAGGATGAATGTAATTCGACCCTAGCAGTACATTCAGTAGCATCTTTGACAATACCAACATTTCCTAAAAACAAAGGATTACTATTGAATTGAATGCCATTTTAATAACTCTTACATAAGACTTAAAAATACATTTGAGGTTTAAAACAAATTCACTTTAAAAAATCTTTTGAAAATTAAACATATAAGAAATTGAGCTGTGAGATGATAAGTTAATTGTCAATATTAATGCAAATTTTATTTATTGGTAGAGAGTCTTAATAATTTAAAATTTTCTAATATAACAGTATTCTTAAATGAGAAGTTAAGATACAAACATAAAAATAGAATATGTTTTCAAACAGCAGTTACATTTATCTACATAATAGTGCTTTTTGAAGTATGTGGTGCTTACATGGAAAAAAAGCTATATAGTCCGGGAGCCCGTGGCAAAAAAGTTGTTATTATTTCATACTTAGCTTTGTCCTTATAATTGATCATGTCCACAGGCCTGATGAGAAAAATGCACGTCTGCCAGCATATAGCCGCAGGAATACAAAATGGCAGCCATGTGAAGATAGATAGACACTACATAGGTTGTAGGTTGTAAGTATATATGGAGAGTAGAGCTTATAGATATATAAAGCTACCTTCTTCTTCTTTTGCATCACCCTGTAGTGCCTTTCAGCGTAGGGGAGCGTCTAACCAGGATTGCCAATTTTCCCTGTTTCTTGCAAGATTTCTGACTTGATGTATATTTTTATTTCTATTTTTGCACAGGCGGTCTATGTATTCGAGGGACGACATTCTCGGTCTCCCGCGGGGTCTTCTGCCATTGGGGACATAGTCCATAGACTTTAACGTAAACATCCCTCCTCTTGTTCCATTTGATCCGTCTTCCCTCTTCAATTTTGTTCCCATTTATTCCAAAATTATCATTTCAGGTGACTTAAACACTAATTTCCTTTCCGACTCCAGTGACAAATCATACCTAGAAAACCTTTTTTTCTCTCTTCATCTTTTCATTGTTCCTTTTTCTGCTATGCAAAAATTTTACCCTTCCTGGAATCCCTACTTATCAACAACATCCATAAATCAATCCTTCACTGCTCCCATCACCTCTATGCCGATGATTTCCAAATTTATTTTTCCTTTTCTCTCTCAGAGTTACATGATACGTTTGCCAAAATTCAAGAAGACTTGAATCGGATCAGTGTCTGGGCAAACTTAACTGGATTAAGATTAAATGCTGCCAAAAATCGAGACATTATCATTGGTTCCAAACCCCTTCTCAGATCTAATACCAACATTCCTATCCTGCACCTAAATGAGTATCCCATCACCTTCCCCTCCTCAGTAAAATTTTTAGGCATTTTCATAGACCAGACCCTACCCTCTCCTACAAACACCATATTGCTCACATCTCGTCGCTTCCGCCATCTCCTACCCATTTCCACACATAGACACCTAGTATCTTCCCTCACATCGATTTTAATTTATATGAACAATATTGTTGTTCTTAAGGGACATAGTCCCAGAATAAAAATAATTTTCTATTCTATTATAGGTAGAACGCATAGTTTCACTGATGTAAGTGAAAAACTGAAAAAAGTAAACTTTTTGAATCGTAAATTCAATTTTTTGACTTGAAATCCACGGGTATAGCGTAACTGACTATTATTTCATGTATTAAGACTGTAAATATTATAAACTGAAAGAGTTGGTAGCTTTATATATCTATAAGCCCACTCTATACATATGCTTACAACCTATGTAGTGTCTCTATCTGTCTTTGCATGAACACCATTTAGTATTCAGCGGCTATCTACTGGCAGATGTGCATTTTTCTCATCAGGCCTGTGGATACGGTAAATTTATAAGGGCAAACCTTAGTATGAAATATGACACTTTTTTTGTCACGGGCTAAAGGACTAATGTATATGGGAACTGCAATTGGATTTGAGTGTTAAAAAATCTATACAAGAGAAGATTATGACTGATTTTTTTTTTAACAATGAAAGATTTATATCTAGCTGACAACATGAAATAACAGTTTATTAAAAAACTACAAATTTTTCATGTATGGGAAGAAAGGAAGGAGGGTATATCATTTTACCTTCCTTCAGTGAAAAATGAAAGTTATTGGTAAGCTAAAAGAAATGAAGTATGAAATATATAATAATTACAATTCTAAAACAAAGGAATAACCTTAGGTATAAGTACCATGGTACATGGTACTTCCTCAAAACTCTGTACCCCCATGTGTTAAAGTAGGATAAAAATAAATGAAAAATGGCTTGGATATTTGATTTGAACAATGTTATTGACAATCCAATATTAAAATACTAAAAATAAAATTTAATTCATACCTTTATAAGGTCCACTAGTAATTTTAATAGTTTGACCAATAAGATCCCTATCTCTCCTCATTCCACCTCTACCACCACCACGCCCTCCTCTTCCACCACCACCCTGTGGATGCATTGGAGAGGAAATTCTAGGTGACGTTAGATATCCTCCATTGACAGGACCTGTAGCTGGAGTTTGCTGTTCAAAATAATAATCGCAAGTTTATTAAGATGAGTCAAATACTAATAAATCATAATAAGTTTTACATAACATAATAAGTTTTACATACTCTATTTCCTCCAGCTAAAACAACATGCCTGGTTTTGCAAACAAATATACCTCCATGTTCTAAATAAACATGAGAAAAGAGGAAGACAAAGTTCCTGTAGAGATGTTTTACTTCTCCTTTACGACCCTAAAATATATTTAAAGCAAATATTAACGTTATTGTTATGATCACTAAAAAGAAACATAAATAAAACTGATATTAATGTGTGTATATATATATATATATATATATATATATATATATATATATATATATATATATATATATATATATATAATTAGGTGGAATTAACAAAATCACTTACAGAATGTATCCCATCAATAACCTTTACAACATCTTTTTTCTGAATTGTGTTGTTCTCAGAATCCAACGATACTGCATTTCGGAACTCTTTTTTCTTATGAAGTGCTTGTGGTTTAGTAACAACTACTTTACCTTGCATGCTAAGAACATGAAAATATTCACGCTCCAAACGAACGATCACTCCAACATTCTGAGGGCTGTAAATAAAGTACATCGTAACTACATACTAATGTTTAAAAAATATGAAACAATCATGCAAAATATAAATTCATATTAAATCAAACACAATGTTTATTTATATTCAGTAAAATATATCATTATTTATAAATTGGTGGAATGAAGAAGTGGCAGTAGCAGTTAAAGAAAAAAATGAATTCTGATATGTAAGGAAAAAAACCTGATGGAGGTAAGATTATCTAAATAATACCCAAGGATGTAAACAATGTTCAACTTTTGTTACAGTATTCATGGCAGAACTAGGTATGATCTAGACATGACCTACCACTTCTGAATCCAGCCTGTTCCTCAGGGATCATATTATTACATTCTTCCGTTAATCTCTTATTTATTATTCTTCCATATAGTCCACTTAAACTAATTGTAACTGTGATCCCTCTGTAGTTCGAACACAACCTTTTACTCTCTTTTTTCATGCATTTCGAACAATGATAGGACAAAGGCTAACCACTTCCATAAAAAAATTTAGAGTGGATTGATGCAAAGTGCTCCTTGGCCATTACACTAATGGTCTTCAATGAAAGATTTTGTTAACAATGAGAAAATTTTTACAATTGAATGATACTCTGCTGGAAATTATTGAGTTTTCCAGCGGAATTCCGCTCCAGCTCACAAGGCCAGGTCAACTCAGCAGTGTTCCGAAGTGGAGAGGATGGCATGCCACAGAGCACACCCTAACTTGGAAAGCCTCAAACAATCTCTGGTCCGAGCAGTTGAGTGCTTTCCTCAAGAAGTGCTACGTGCTGCTATTGATGACTGGCCAACTGTAATGGTATGGGGATAATCATAGATAATGAATGCCTGTACAATTTACAATTTGCTGATCAGGTCATTATTAAAAAACAAATGACGAAGAAGATGTTTCCTTTATGGTGAGGAAGGTATTGAAAGCTTATGTGGAAGGAGGACTGGAAATCATCAAAACAAAAAGTGAATACATGGCATTCATGGTATAGTGGAAACTTCTCATTAAATACTGGTGAATGGGATTTGGCCTCAACTGAGCAATTTAAATATTTAGGCAGGTGGCTTGAGAAGGGGAGCAATACCAATAAAGATATGGATGAAAAAATTATCAGAGGTAGAAAGGTCATACAAAGAAGTCATGCTCCAAATGAAAAAGAGACTATATCATTCCTTTATTGTAAGCACTGTCATATGCCTCAGAAACTTGGACGATTTTAACCGACTTAGCAAGAAAATTGTTATCAATGGAGATGGATTCTTGGAGACGTAGCTGTGGAATATGAAGATTACATGTTCCAAATAATTAGGGAAAAAGTGAACGAACCCCTTAACCCCTCCATTGAGACAAAAGAGCTAAGTTGGTTTGGGCATGTAACCATGACCAATACGAGAATCAATAAACATGAAGACCTCTACATTTTATAACCTTCTCATACTACGTTTCATTTTAAAAGCATACTTCAGAATGAAAATTTTAAAACATAACATGAAGATTTCATAGAATCAAAAGATTAATTAATCTTATTTCAAAACTTCAATCATAAAATAAAATTTAAACACCATATAAAAATAATAATACAAGATACATTAATTAATTTTTTTGAGAGCGAGAGAGATATCTATTTTTCTTACAATCAATATTAAATATCAGCCATATTAAGAGCAACAGATAATAGTGATCTGATTAAATAAACTAGCATAACAGTTATATAACAAAACTTCATATTAATCGCCAGATTGGCAGTTAATTATTTATAAATAGTATGGCCCACCAACCTATAGAAACAACTTTTTGTCCCAAGATAGAACTGATGTTGGTCAATCAACACAAAAATGACTATGATCACAAAGGTTTGTTGAGATTTGTTGACGAGAAGAAAGTAGAAAAAATGATGAATAGTTTAGCAATGTTAATAATATTTAAAATGTAAATAATAAAATAAACAATATTTCATAATACTTCTTAAAATTTTAATGATTAGAATTGAGAAATTTAGTAGACAAATTTAATTGTCTCTTATCAAATGAGTGATCAAACGATATATCACCAAACACAATATTATTATTGTCAACACATCTGACAAATATTTCCTCCAGTCTTCTCCTATATACTCAATAATGCTGTTACTAAAACCATTAAATGAATAACCAGGGAGAGTAGATTCGTTAGGTTTTCGCTCCATTATAACATACTTTTAATGAATTTAGTTTGATTTTGTTTTTTGAGAAGTACAAGATTAATTTTGTTTAAAACTAATAATACAAATGACTATAATTAAATTTAAAAAAAGAAAAACAGGTGATTAAAAAAACTAATGATTCTGACTAAAAGCTTTAAACAAATATTCCTGTAATCATTACAGCTCCTTTTACATTATTATTAAGCCATAGGTCCTTTTAATTACAGGAAGCTGGGGTAACACTATAAAATATCACATATAACAAATATCAGCACATGAAACAAAATAACAATAACCAAAAACATATGTTTAATTAACATTTAATGTTTATTGATTTTTAAGCAAACTTGTTTAGAACAAGTGTGAAATATTTTTTATCTTAACAAATATTTAGTAAAATAAGAAAACGGAAAATTCCAGCTTGTATATTTTTATCTTCCAACTTTGCTATTTCTTTCTCTTTTTTTTTTATAATACAATATTTGGCTATGTTTTTAGATAACTAAATAATATCAACAATAATGAATGACAACTTCAAGCTAGGAAATTTTATAAGAGAAACAAATAAGCGATTAAAAATTTATAAAGTGTACAGTGATTGAGTTCCAATAGTTTTTGATAATTAATGCAAGCCTTCCTTATTTGTAAAGAAAAGATTATTTTTTTTTTATTTTCACTTTAATAAACGAAACATATAGGATGTCCTGTAAGTATAGGAAAATATTTGAATGGGCATTATTTTTTAATACCAGTTACAATATGAAATGATAATAAATAAAATTAAAGGTACATTAGAGAAAGAAATTTTGAAAATTTGACATGAGCCGTGTCAACTATTTCAATGAAAATAATTTCAGTTACTTTTAGCCCTGTAGTTTTTTTTTGCATACTTCTTATTTATTTCATTGTTTAATTAGTAGTAATTAATTGGTTAATTTATTTTTACTTTTAATATACTTATTTTTGGAATTTATTTAGAACACAAAGGCATTTTCTAAGAGTATTGTTACGTTTATATTACCATTATCTTACCTTTACATTCCATATTTATCCTCTCTTACTTACCTACTTTTACGTATATCATTTTTCTGATATAATTTTTGTATTTATTATAACTTTTAGTTCTGTTGGCGATCCACATGCTTGGGTCCAAACTTCGGCAAACTTAAGACACACCATTATTGACTGCATATCATGACTATTTTTCATCCTTGCAATTTTAACAATTAACTATGTCTCCACTACTGAATTATTAAAATATTGAGAAATAATTTTAAATAAATTAACAATGAGTATAAAACAAAAATCTCAAACATTTACTGACAGCCCTCCCTTGATGTTGTAGATTATTTTAGCCTTCATTGATACAATAATCGTTTGTAACAACTTACTAGTTGAAATGTTTCTATTACACAAAAGATAGTAAAATTGATTAAGATAAACAGAAAAATAAAAAAAAAGTAAGATGGATGTTAAAAAGACCTAATGAGAACTTCATAACTCAGAGTCTCATGTACCTGACAGAAGCAGATAAAAAAACAGTTTACAAAAAGAAATATAATTGTATTAGCTGGTCCTTTCAAAACAAATATATTTCTGTTCAAAGGCTAACATAACAGATGATTTTCAAAAGGATTAAGTTACATTAATAAAAAGTTTTTAACTTATGTATCAAAGATGATTAATGGTATTACAATTAAAAAACAACTAGCTGATCCATGCCAATAATAGTATATCTTATAATGGTTATCATAGTTAATAACGATCCAATTTCAATTTTTTTTTTTCCTTTTGTATGGAATTCATAACTTTTTCAAATTACCATAAGTATAATATTCGGTACAAGATTTATTTGAGATTCAATGGAATAATGTTTGTGGGATAGATTTCTTTTGTAACTGATGTTTTTATGATAAACAACAAAATATACATTTTAAGACAGATTATGGTGAAATTATAATACAAAGTAATTTGTTTACTTTTTGATTATACTAATACATCTTGAGGTTCAAAAGCCCACATTTCTGTCCTAGTTTATTATTGTAAAGAGACTCTCACTAGAATAAACAAAATATTATTATAAAAAAAAAAAGTTAAGCGATTTATCTATTCTGACTTATGTAGATGACTATCTACCTTAGATTATTATTTGTGCACAGTCTAGTTATAGTCAAATATTCAATGAGTGACCCAAACACTATTGAAAATCCAAATCCATTTATCTTGTCATAATAAGATATAAGAAATTCACAGTGATATCTGAGAAGTCGCCTTTTAAATTAGTTACCAACCCTGCACTAGTATTAATTATATTAGCAAGTTAATAAAATAATATATCATAGATCATGCTTTATAATGAATCCTTTCCAGGCTAACAATTTTACTTTTACTATTGTAATGAGCATGTAGTGGAGTATTGAAGGTACAGGTTATAAATACACGGTTGGCATGAGCTGAGAAGTTGTGTAAAATGGATTTATCACGGCTGTATTTATTTAAATATTTTTTATATCTTCTTTTTATATTTATTCGAAACATATTTTTTATTTATTATTATTTTACAATAGCATTTTTCATATCTTTCAATGATAAATCGATTAGTAACCTCTCACCAAGTGTTGTTCTTTGTTGGCCAGTGAAGCGTTTTTTATTGTTTGTGGTTATGACCTGTATTTTGATTGATCTTTACATGGCTTATGACTTGGAATTTGATTTTAGAACTATAACTCTCGCTTAGGTATTTGGTAATAAAGATATCTTTGGAGGAGCATAATTATTCTTTTATATTCACGCCACAATCAATAAACCGTAACCTAATCTAATCTCTCTTTCTCTCTCTTCTTTCCAATAAAATAAATAATTTTAAACTAATAAAATTAAGTAACAATACACTCGAATTAAACAAAAAATACATGCTTACTCTAACTGAACAAGGTCTCCCCACTGGAACTGCCCAAGAGAATCAACTCCAGTAGCCATATCTGAACAAAGTTGCAAGTCTCTAGGCAATACCTCCAACTCGTGCATAGTTAAATCGGAAAACAACACTACTCTATTTTCTTCAACTCGGACAATGAGTCCGGTATCTCCTTCATAACGTCCAGATAAAACTTTGACATGGTCTCCAAGCCGGAAATATTTTTGCAATTCCTGAGCTTGAAATTCCAAAGGTTCCTAATAAAGATAATAATCCATTTTAACCTACAGTAGCTAATAAAAAGACAATCTCTAAGTGGTAATGAATGGTATTTCAATAGTAATTATAATGTTTTTAAAACCAATCTGCTGAAATGAAAATATACTTGAACCTGAGTGAATTATAACCTGAGAATTTTTGAAAATTCTGAATTCATAAGAAAAAGATTGTCTAATCGTTATTTAAATACATTGATTTAATGAATAGATTTGTGATTTAAAGTGTACTGAATAATCAAATATTGAATTTTCTTCATTTTAATAAGAACAAAATTTAAAAATCAGTTAATAAATCATAAAGTATCTAATATTCAATCAAATACACAACTGGTTCCACTAGTGATTATAACTAATGAGACAAACGAATTTTCATTAATCTAATATTAAATGACATAATAATTTGAAAAGTAATAATAAAGTTTTTGGGACAAGGGGTATTTCAAAATTTAAATATAAAACTTTCCACAGGATGTTATTTTAATTTCCTCAAAAGGTGGGAAACCCAAAAGGGAAGGAGGAAGAAAATAAACCTGTAATAAATGAATAGACAAATGCATGAAAAAACAAATATTAAAAAAACATTAAATCAATTAATGATGAGGAAATAAAATAAATAATCCCTTTTTGAATGTTCACAAATTATATTAAATAAAGGATAGCTATAGATATAAAATAAAACAATTAAAATTAAAACAATTACACATATGTTCAACTAAAATGGAAAACATAAATATATTATTCAATAAAATTAAAGGTGTCTATTTGAAATAAAACCTAAATAAAAATAAACTTCTCAAAATAAAAGGCTAATTAAGAAAACTAATAAATTAAATTTATCGTGAATTTATACCAAATTAACCAATAAAACTACAATTATAACGTCGTTGAATTAACTAAAATTGTAATGAAAAAATGCAATAAATTCAGAGATGTTTGAAAAACAAAACAGAAAGTCCAAGTCTTGAGAACATAACCCTACTTCCAACAAGGTTACTTCAAGATGCCAGCTGTCTTGAAGATTTCAAACAAGCAATGGTGGGGATATCGATATGCACATAACGATCTTGATCAATCGCTTTCAAAGTTTCCTTAGCTGGTACAAACAAAATGGTGCCAGGCCTGGGGGTGACTCCAGGAACTTTGATCTCAAGCAGATAGTGAGAGTGAGGTGGAGAGAAGAGCTGCCTAGCTTCGACATAAATCTAGTACCCAATGATGCTCACTCTAGACTGCCCTGGCAGTGTTTTGGTGGGTGCTTGGTTGTCTTATAACCCCTAAGACTAAGACTGTCGCCAGGCATTATGCGTATGTGATAATACATCACAAATGAAACTTTGATGTTTAAATTAAATACAATAAAATAATTCCCTTTATTTAATTAACATTTAAAGGAGTGAACGGTGAGAGAAAAAAAAATTGGGCTTTAACAAAGTTAAAATAATATAAAATTTAACGCATTAACCCACAATGGCCAAGCCTGGTCTATAACAAAAAAAAAGGATATAATTGTCACACAAGATTTTTAATAAATGTTTAATCAAGATAGGTATTGCTTAATGCTTTACACAGAGCAGTGCTGTGGTCCTTCCCGTGGTGACAAAGGAACAGAAGAGACATTAAACTCCTGAATCTGGAATCAAAAGCCAGAAACATCTTAAAGAAGCCACTGCAAAACAGAATAAAAAAAAACCTGTACCACTACAACCCATGAAGGGTCTTGGGTGCAGTACAATGTGAGGAAGTACTGTTACAAGATCAACGGTTGTGCAGGGAGGTGATGGGGCCAATATCAAGCTCAACTGCCAGGCTTTTCCTATTAATTATTTTTTTTAAATTAAGGGTAGCCACTTTATAGAGGCTGGTTGTGCCCAGGAGGGTCTCCCGACCCCAGGGTTGATCCATGGCTAATGAAAAATTATTAGTCATTAGCCGGACTCACTCGAACATAGGACCTTGAGCTCAGGAAGTCAGTGCTCACCCACTGAGCTACCCCGACCCAGAACAGAATACATGAAGGAAACCGAAATAGGACCAAATGCATTAGTCTAGTTGACAAAATAACTGAGCTAGTCTCAGAACAAATTCATTTCAGTAAATATTGAAACAGTAAAAATAACACACAGCTCACCACAATGGGATTCTCTTCCTAAACCTGAGATTGGCCTAACCATTTTAAGTCTCAAGCAAAAGAAGCCCTTTGAGTCCCAATTAATGAGATCACTGGCCTTGAACTTGCTGAATGAGAGATATCTCATGGACCCATTGATAGATAGGCTGCAGGTGTACTTCCTAACGGTGGGGCAGGAACACACATAGAATTCCCAGTTTGTAAAACCTAGACAAAGCCAACTCGACGGGTTCCATATGTACAAATTTCAAAGCTGAACATAAGCCTGTCTTTTTCATTAATGCCATTCTAGCCAATTTAAATGAAGCCAATATTCAATTAAACAGTTGGTGTATCTTCAAATATTCACATTTTTAAAAAGATTAAATTTGACTTAGCAGATACTAACACTTCTACTTACTATCTATATATTTTAAATTAATAGATATCTTACTTTCAACTCTTCATGCTTTGGCATAACAGTAATAAGATTTCCGTTGATGGAAAGAACTTTTCCCTGAAGATTCATCAATTCACCAAGGCAAACTTCTACATTGTCTCCAGCTGAAAAGGTGTGACCTGGACCAGTCTCCTTATTAGCAGAAATTTCAAAATCAACAACTTCAGGAGTTTCTTCAAATTTTTCAAGTTCAGAAAGTGATGGTTTTACACCTAAAACAAACAAAATCAAATTAATCATATAACTAAGTAACATGATACATACATAAAATTTAACTAAACTATAGTAAAACCCCCATTCATCTAAAACTTTTAAAACTCAAAATAAAAATAACAGGTGCGAATGTGTTTTATATATTTTAATTTCATTTAGTTTCTCTCTACATTTTTTTTTATTTTATTTTTTTTTTTACATATGTATGTTAATTTTCTTATTTTACTTTCTACAACTCTTTTTCTTTTATCTCTATTTTAGTTATCATTTGTACGTATATATTGTGTGAATGTTTAATGTAGCCCTAATATTAACGCCTTCCAATGCGGCAGAATGTATTAATTTCAAATAAAAAAAACATAAAAGTCCAAAAATTTCTTGCTTAAAAATGCATAAGCTTTTTATTTCATTTGAAAATAACTATTTTATAATTAATCTGATTTCAGGGATGATATACAGCAAGAGGATTAGAACATTATCTCACATTTAAAGGATGACAACTGCACATTATTGAGGCAGTTCGACCTTAGAAGCACCAAATTATATTTTAGAGAACTTATTATACTTTTCTAGCAGCTAGGTAAGGCCTTCAGTTTATAAAGCAGGGATAGGATCAGATCGCAGCTCCAACTCTCCCTATTTCTGGCAGATTGGTGGAGAAGGGGTGTAAAAAAATGATTATTTTGAATGTCTTTTTTTTTTTTTTTTTAACTTAATGCATTACTTAATTTTTTTCTTATAGGCTTTTTTTGCGAGGACTATTCTCTACCCTATTTCTGGCAGACTGGTGGAGAGGGGGTGTAAAAAAAGAGTATTTTGAATTTCTTTTTTATTTAACTTAATGCATTATTTAATTTGTTCTTATAGTCTATTGATAATAATTTATCATTAGAATAAATTTAGTCTTGCCGAGCAAAATCATTATTATAAATCAATTGGCCTTTTATGGGTAAAATATTTTTATCCCTTATATTATATTTTTGTTTCCAGATGGTGTATGTATTGCCTGCTGCATTCTAGAGCTTTTTGTATTCTGAATCAGCCTTTGGAACTAAAAGGAATAATTTCGGAAGGGGGATTGCACTTGTAATATAAGAGAGTAAGCTCTTTGGATAATTGATAATAGTATAATATTTTACAAATGTTAATTAATTAATAAAACCAGTTAGTGCATTGTTATGACTAATAAAAGATACCTAAAAGTATTTATTTTCATTAGTCATACATAGTACAGGACTAGTAAAGATTCTCATAAAACCCCTACCTACCGTCTCACATATGGAATTGCAGAACAGTATGTTCGACATACTGTCATGTTATTATGGAAAGATATTTTATGGCAATTTTTTTATTACTAATAGGAGTTCGTATTATATCAAATGACCAATTTTATAACAATAATATTGTGGATAAAAATCATATGATCACAAATAAAATAAATTAAAGTTATATATTTTAATATATTTAAAAAGCTGTAATAATAAATTGAATCCATACCATCTGCAATGATAGCACTCATCGTGAAGTTCTTGTAAAGAAATCCTTTTCTGCTATACCTATTTCCTTCAAAAATAAGGAAATCACCATCTGATGTTACCTCTCCACCAATCTCTCGTATTGCACCCTGATCAAAAGGCTTGGCAGGTGGCTTCCTCTTCTTTTTTCTTTTCAGAGCTTCTATGTCCTGAAAAAAATATAATTTAAACAATTTAATAATTAGTTTACAAAGATAAGAATTAAAAACTTATTTTAAAAAATATATATAAATCTCTCTCTCTCTCTCTCTCTCTCTCTCTCTCTATATATATATATATATATATATATATATATATATATATATATATATATATATATATATATATATATATATATATAACTTGCATAATTCTTTTATAATCTAGTACCTGGCTTGCTCTAAGTGCTCCTCTTGGCCTAGTATAATCTATACGTGGTAGCAGCTTTAGATGGACTTGATTTTGAGCTAAGTCGACATAATCAACCTGGGCGATATCGTCCTTATAAAGGCCTAAACATAGATACATACAAAAAAACAAATATATAAATGTAAAATACTGTCTTTAGTATAATTTAAAAAAATAGGCACCTCGTCGTAAGCGGACCCATTGTTTGGGACGTAAACCAGTTTGTACTTTCACCACTCTTAGCACATCTGTCATTTCTTTTATAGGCACCAACTAAAATATCACATCCATGATTATTTTATTATCACAATACAATCTAAAATGTTTTAAAACAATATATTTTTCTTATTTATATTATTTTTTCGTACATGGGTAACAATTACAAACATATAAAGATAAGAATAGAAGACAACCTATCAGTTACACAAGGATAGTTCACATGCTATTCGATAACAATATACAAAGTTACAAAGATATCAACTTTTAAGAATAAAATTTAACAGTCTGAGGGATTTTCTTTATTCTTTGTCTGACTTTATCATTCAATACATTAAATCATGTGATAAACCAGAAATATCTCCATAATCCTAACCAATGGAGGAAGAATAAAAAATCAATGATTATGATGCCTATGATTAATAATAAAAAAATTTCTAGCTGTTATAAATGTTTCTTGTTTCAAGTCATATTCATTTGTTTTACCACCATTTTATAATTTTTGATGATAATTTGGACCAGCTAATGTATTAATAATTCTATCCATAATAAAAATACCATATTATCATTTTACAGACACCATATCAAAATGCTTGAGAAATCTTTTTTTGCTATTACTATTCCCCATTTCAGATGGTGTTAGCTTTACAAATGTGATAAAAAGAAAAAAGGTTAATTAATTTTTAATTTCCTACCTATACTAGGTAAGGAAAGTATTGTGATCGGGTCAAATTTCCGATGTGCGGTTTTCGACAAATCTATATGTTTCAGAGCCTCCTGAGCCCAAAAAGCACATTTTCAGCAATTGGTTTATCTGTCTACACCAAAATTGTCTAGTAATCTTGTAATAGGCTGATAAAACTAATATACCGATTTTGTTGCTTCTTTTTTTATTTTGTAGAGTTTTGACTACTGATGCCTGTGACATAAATTGCTCCCTGCCCAATAAGTGAAAAACATAATTTTCTCTAGACTAGCTCAAAAACAGCTTTAACGATTTCGATGGAACTTTCCTGTAATTTTCTAATTAATGTTTTGTCAATTCTCGTACATGTACTAAATTCCCGAGAAAATTTAGGAAAAAAAAGTTATAAAGAAAAGAAAAATGTTTTGGGGTCTAACTCACTAAGTATATATTCTATGGAAAAATTTATTTAAAAAACTTTTGATAGGTAATTAAATTACCTAAAAAAAAAATCATCGAATTGAATCAGTATTAGCGATGATACAGTGTATTCTATTTACTACACAGGTTTTAATTTATTACTTTCCTACCTAAACTAGGTAAGGAAAGTATTGTGATCGGGAAGAATTTCTAATGTGCGGTTTTTGACAAATCTATATTTCAGAGGAGCTTCCTGAGCCTGAAAAACACATTTTCAGCCATTGGTCTTTTTAGCCTGTTTTTTTTAAAGTATGTTCATTTCAGACAACTATTAATGAAGTTACAGTTATTCAATTTCGTATATAAGATTGCGGGTTCAAATCGGGGTAGCAGAAAGGGGTGAAAGAGAAATAAAGAAGAAAAGTAATCGACAGTAAAAAATCTGGTGCCAGCAATACACAAGTTTTTCTTTCCTCTATTTTTAACAAAAATTATTGTCTGAGAAAATTGGGCTATGGTAAAAAAAGTTTTTGATTAGCAATATTTAGAGTGGATTTATTTATACTGATCTTCTGCAAGCCGGTTTACATTGCTTTAGTTTATCAAAGAAACCGTACTCAAATATTTTCTTTGATCCATTTTCAGGAAAATAAATCTAATTCAATTTTTGTTTTTGTTTTTTAATGGACATATTTTAAGATATAAAAATTCTTTTCTGAAATCGGTAAGAAAATCGTGTGAGTTGGCACACCAGATTTTTTTTATTGTAAATAAAATTAAGCTTCCATTCATTTTCACTTTATTTAAATCCTCTAGTAAGTTTTTAATTAATACAAATAGTGCAAAATGTTCTTAGTTTATACTTGAACAACCATACACTGTTTTCCATGATAGCATTAAAAAGTTATGTTATTCATATATAGATAAGAATAAAAGGCTACTATAACAAAGTACCTAAAAATTGAAACTGAAATGGAGAACTGGATAACTCCAAAACTAATGGAGTCAAGTTTTAAGTTATAAGTTATTTAAGTTTTAAATTTTTCACATATTTAGTTCAAAACTGTACATATGATGATCAGAGGTTTTGTAAAAATTTAATGTAACATAACATTCAAAAATCATAAAACATTATGATTATATGCATAACTTTTGGAATAAATATTCTGAACAATATTGTGCAACAAAAGCAAACTTTTTGAAAAATACAAAACACATATTATATACATATATATATATATATATATATGTATATATATATATATATATATGTTTATATGTTTATATATACATGTATATATAAATCTCAGCTACGACTGGATAGTCAGGTTCTAAAACATTTAATTTTTAAAAAAATTGAAGATTACCTGCTGTTTCCACCATCCTACTCGAAGTGTTCCAACATTTTGGATAGCCTGAAGAACATGGGCCTGTTTAAAGGCTTCAATATAAACATATCCCTTCACACTGTCTGGAGCTACAACTGATTTTATTTGCAAAGGAGTGTCAGTACTTTGAAATGAAATAAATTTCCTCATGAGTAAAAGAGCAGTAGATTTCTCTTCTCCGATGCGACATTTTACCATCCATATATTAGGATCCCTATAAAGAAATTGATTAATGGTGGCAATTCAATAAATAAATACTATATAAAAATAAAGTACTAATTTATTGAGTGTCGTACTCGACAAGAGACTGAGTAATATGATTTAATTTTCTTTAGCATGGCATAACATAGCACCAAAACTAACTATGAATACAACACTTACAAAACTAAACAAAAAATAAACTTAAGACAGCTAATAACTCACTTGACACTAGGTAACAGAGTATGCTGAGTAATTTCATCAGACATATCTTCACCTCCATCACCAAAATGTCGGGCAGCAATAGACTCGTCAGCATACTTTTTTCTTAGATATTCTTCAATTTCATCTTCCTTCTGAGAACTAAAAAATAATAATAAAATTAAATTAATTAACTAATTATTTTTTCTTAATTTTACATCCTTACAATATGAAATCTTTAAACAATTGACAATTTATTTTTATTTTTTTCAAGTTCATTTGATTAATACTGAACGACTAATTAATAAATAATCATCACTGTAAAATTACTACTTACTCCCAAAGAGTAGTTCCTCTTCTTCTTCCTTCAATTTCTCGAGCTGTTGGTCCCAACTCTTCCATCTCATTTCCGACAATGCCAATTTCCTGAGCACCATCTTCCCACTCATCATCTTCTTCCACTTCATCATCAACTTCAGCTTCATCAATGATAAAACCACCAAATCTATCATGCTTCTTCTTCTTTTTTTTGCTTTTAGGACCTTCGTCATCTTCATCTTCTTCTTCATCATATTCCTAGAAAAGATGAAAAAAAGTAAAACTAAAAAATCAGAAAATGGAATGATCATTGACTACTGAAGTATATAAATGGCAAAAAATCTTTTAAAAAATAACCAATTTATATTTAAAATCATAAATAGTTTTTATCATCTTTTATTAGTTTTATCACATATTAGCAGATTTATTTGTACAATAAAATACGAGTGAAATCACGAAAGAAGCAGGAGTTTAAAAAGAATTATTCATAAAGAGACAAAAGACTTGAAGGATTTAATAAACATTACAAAAGTCCGACAGAGGTAAAAAAGAAGATGGCAAGATTATTGAGAAAGGACTTAAATATTAACTGAGCAAGATTCAAGTAAACAGCAGCTACAACCCATAATGAAACAAATATAAATATTAAAATACAAAAAAAAAAAAGATATATTGGTGAAAATGAAAACCAAAGACAAAAATATAAAATGATATAATATTATATAAAATATAATATATTAAGCAGAGGTTCAAATATTTAGGATCGGCAATGACTGTGGGTAATGACGAACCAAGAGGTGAAGTAAAGACTTGTTGGTACAGACAGATGTTATTGTGTCTTTCTGAAGTATATGAAAAGCTGTTTACTTCTACGATCAACTAAACTTCTCTGGTACAAAGTCCTTATACAACCGGTTCTGACATACGGGAGTGAAACATGCACATAGACGAATGCCAGTGAGAGTAAAAGGTTAGATTTCAAAAGGAATGTCCTTTGGAAGATATTAGGTTCAGTGAAGGGGAATGATGAATGAAGAATTAGACGTAATCAACAACTATCCAACCTATGCAAGGAGCCGTGTGGTGAAATATATTGAGACAGCAAGACTGAGTACAATGGGACACATTGTATGGATGAACTCAACTTCAAAGCTGCTCAGCATGGAGCTGTGTGAAAAAAGAAAAGTGGGTAGCCTAAGTCGGGATGGAGTAAGTGTCGATGGCAGAATCCTTGGAATCAGGAACTGGTGAACAGCTACTCAGTACAGCTAAATAAGGCAACTCTTGGGGCAGCCAAGACCCAGTAATAGATTGTCAAGCTTGGAATGATGATGAAGCAGTGGTTAAAACAGACATGTAATGTCTATACAAAATTGTTGGACTAGCCAAAGATGAAAAATAATGAAACAACAGGCATCTACGCCTTATAATTTAAAATGTTCATTATTATTGCTTTTACTTGCTTATAATGTATAATTATATCACATAATTTTCCTTTTTGAATTATAAGAATAAAGGTCTAAAATGATTTATTTTTAATAAACTTTCCTTCCATTCACATAAATTCAATATTGGTTTCAGAACAGCGTTGATAAAGGTGTCAAATAAGGAAACAAATCAGCCTTAAAAGTAATTTGATCAGAACTAGAAAAATTATACATATCAGGTGATAAATGAAGATTACTTGACATTTAGAATAAAAATTACCTTAAAAGAAATAAAAACTTTATCAATTCAGCATTCTTGTAACTGATATCATATCTATAATAAGATTATATTGACATCATAACAATGATTTATTCTAAAAATATCTGGCTTATTTAGCTTACCAACTCATATGTTTAAAATATATTTAATAAAAAAAAAAAACTAACGTCTTCATCATCTTCTTCCACATCAGAGTTTAAATCTTCTCCTTCAGGTTCTTCTTCTCCCTCACTTCCAGATTTTTCAGCTCTAAAAAAAAATAATAATTATTATTATAATGTAAATATATAAATAAGTGTTATTCACTGAAAAATGCAATCTTTCCAATGACAGTTATTGATAGCACTGAGTACAACTAATTTCCATGCTCCCATGAAATTAATAGGAGCGGAAATAGGATGAATCTGATCTATCAATGAAAGAGGTACCTTGAAGAAACTACATAGAGTTTTTCGATAACAGTGACAGAGTATAGAAACTTACAACAGAATATCACATTTATCATATCTTCAAATTTCAGGGTTTTATCCTCATATTTAAAACATACCTTATATATTACAATTATATAATTGTTATTGTTATAAATAGAACTAATAAAAATGATCTAGTCATATTAACACAAACTTTGTCAAAAGCTTAACCTTAGATGAACTTGTTTAATCTATTTTATTTATGGACTCCGAAATGAGTAAAAGAATTAGTAGACTATCTTATTTGCTTAACTAATTTAATTTACTATACACTATCTATGAAATTAGGAAAGATGATTGTCATATACATGATTAGACAAGAATAGTGAGAAATGGTCCTAAATATGAAAGAAACTTAAGGCTACCTTATCAATTTGACCCACCATAATTAAGAATACAGAAAAAATAATAATACACATTAGTTATCTAATGTTATAATGTACAATCATGGGTAAATTTCAAAACAATAAAAGTATGAGTTCAGGTTACTTATGTGTTTGTTTTTTTTAATAATTCTAAATTGAACTCTTTCACATCAGATCTGCAGTTCACATTTGTTTTTAATGAACATATATATATTTGTACCGTCAGGACCAGTGAAAATGTTTTTAGTTTCCATAAAATTTAGTTGTTGTTTTCCTAAGAATGACATTCTAAATTCCATTAATACTAAAGAAACGGATATAAAATAAAGAGTATCTGCTGGATTTACACGTAAAAAGAAAATTTTCAATGCTTAGCCCTAAAACTTATCTACTCCATATTAGTAGACATCCTGAGTTGGGATATTTCCTAACTAAATAAATAAATAAATAAAAACAATACCTATTATCCTCTTCAGCTTCTGAAGCACTACCGCTTCGGCTTCCACTACCACTTCGAGATCCACTCCGGGAACGGCTCCGATTTCTTCCTCTTGACTAATAAAACGAAAAGAGCAAAGAAAAAATAATTAATACAAATTAAAAAAAAAATAAATAACATGCTGAGTCTTTTAAAACCTTAGTATTTAGTAGCACGTATAGGAGTAAAACGTATAGGAATTACGATTAATAATAATAATAAAATAAAACATGATTACTTGATAGCAAAATTAGGTATTAGTTCTGAACCAATACTCCAAGATGGCATCCAGTTTCAAGATCACATTGAGCACACTGTATGTGAAAACCTGAAATTATCTATCTAAGTTGATATAACCAATCCCTAAGACTTCATGGTTAGTAAATTACTAGCCATTTTAAGGAAATTTTTCCTCACTTATGCAAACTGTACATGTTAGGTTATATCAGCTGTAGTCACCACTCCATTCAGTTCTGGTTACATATGTAACAGTGTGAAAAGAAAAATTAAAATGTTTGTCAACTGATAATAAAAACTTTCAATTTTTTCGAGGAAATAAACATAAAAATATAAATTTTTATGCTGCTGACCAACAATAATCACATTCCTCTTCTCTCATTTAGCTTATTAAGCATATTAACCATAAACAACATCATGACCGTTACAAAATAAACATTAAGTCTAACATAATTCCAATCAGAATTCAAGTAAAATAATAATGATTAAATTAAAATACTGCTCTGATCGAAATATTTCAACATGTTTCTCTTTATCCTACATAAATAATTGATATGATGTAAATTAATAACATATTATTATAATTAATTACTATAATTACATAAGCCGGGACACAACTGTCATAGTATGAAAAAATTATTGTAAATATTCAGTTTCTCGCGGATTCCTTAGTGTGATCTTGAAAATTACATGAACATAAAACTGCTCTGTAAACAAGAAAAGCTAATAATCTTTAACCAATTTCATGATATGCTATGGTCAAATAATATTGTAACTTTTAGTAAGTGGTAGATAAAAAAACATATGGATTCACATAGAACGAAATTTCTTCTATAAAACATGATCAAATAATAAAAAAATACTTTACCTCATTGTCACTTTCATTATCACTAGCTCTTCCTCCACTTCCTGCATCACTTTCAGCACCACTACCAGCAACACTTCCAGCACCACTACCAGCAACACTTCCAGCACCACTTCCACCAGCTTCACTACCTGCATAGCTACCAGCTTCACTACCTTGATCACTATCGTAGTCTGACATAGTGGAGAGGCAAACTTAACTATTTAAAAAAATTATGTAAGTCTATTTGTGCAGGGTTATGACTATAAATGTTAGAATAAGACCGAAATAAAATTTATCTTTCAACAGAACATGCACTATTTACAGCATTACATTGAGAAAAGGAACCTATATCACTCAATTATTCAAAAACAGAGCAATAAATCACTAAAAATTAACCACAAACAATACAATTAATATAACACCACCGAAAGGCATAACATAACCTACTTTCTAAGACAACCTTAGAAATATAGATAGCAACTAAATATCGATAGTCGTCTTATCGATTTACGACGATATATATTCACTGCATTTTTTTAAGTTATCCATCTTACTGTGAAGACACGGTTTGTAAAATTATCCTCAGGATTATGAAAACAGTAGTTAGTTTCTTACAAATGCTATATTTATAATTCCAGATATTTTCAAGGGAATACAAATACTACTCCATATTCATTGAATTGAAGTGGATTTAGAATTTAATTTTTTATACAAACTTTTTCTTCTTTTCATTTTCTCTTCCTGTTTTTTTGTTTGTTTTTTTACTTTTTTTGCTTGCAGCAACAATGCTTTTAGCTTTTACTTGCAGCAAAATGCTTTGCATCAATCAATATACTGGTAACAAACAGTGTAAAATAGTGTTAGATACCTAATCACGTTTGAACCAAAGTTTGGAAAGGAATAAAATTATATGCGAGGAAGTAAGATCATTGTGTTCCATCTTTCTCGGTTGGAAAATTGTAGTAACCTCCAACGACAGTTGTGTCTTGTTGATACTGTCACCAAATAGATATTAACATTCATTAATTGTATCCCCACTTAATGTATTAAAAATATTTGGATGTAAGTAGGATTTGCAACTTTAATCTCGAGCCGTCATGGAAGTACAATTTTCATACAAATCGGTAATAATATGACAAAAGGTTTGATCCTTTAAAGATAATAGAAAAGAATGAAAGATTTTGGAAGCCATTCATCCTCATAGCAAACGTGAATTCATCACATTCAAATTTTAAATATTTAAAAGAATTCACATGCCAAATGTACGGTTCGAAGCATTTCAGCTAAGGAATCAATCAGCGAAGGAAGATTATCATTTTTAAGTACGTCTTATAAGCCAAAAGCTTCAAGACAAAGTTATTTTATTTAGTTTTTAAACTGTTTCATCATCGACCACATTCCCCTCTGACAGAGAATTGAATGGATAAATTAATAGAACACTATTTTTTAGCGGTCCCTTAATTAATTGCGATATAATTTCAGTGACCCCTGTCCAGTTGGGAGAGGATTGGACGAAATTTATATTTGAATAAAAATATGGGCCAAACCGTTTGAAGGTGATATGGGGCGTAGCACTATTTTACACTATTAGATGCTAGTACTTGATGGATGTAGAAGATGAAATTCTGGGAGAACACCACGGTAAGAACTTAACGGACTTTTATAATTTAATTCATTAATTTTATTTTCAGCTATTAAATTATAATATTTGTTTTGTTTTTAATTTGGCGTGTTTTAATGTTTCATTTATTGCGCCAGTTTTGAAAACGCATCGTTCAACAGAGAAAGATGAAACACAATTCTTTTGGAACATAAGTTCGATGGCACATTGCCTGACAGAACAGCACTTCCATTTTTATGAAGATACCCAAAAATGGGTAGATTCTTGAACAGCCAGTTTTTCCGACGTGGAATTCAAATGTTGTCAGAAAGATCGATGAAAGTAGTGGGAAATACTTTGAGCGACTTAATTTAAATAAAGCATTAATTTTTGCAAAACAACAGCGAGAACTTAATCAAAGTTCTAATATTTCAGTATATTAAACATGTAGAAAAAGCTTGCGCGGATCTCATTACCGCGTTTGGGAGCCTCTCACGGGTGGCTGATGTCTTCGAAAGTTCTCCATTCTGGAGGGCATGACAACACCCTACTCACATATCTTTAGTTCACAAAATACCAAACAGTCATGAATCTTCTTATGGTAAAACTCTCATTATCTGCAAGTAAACTAGTCCCTCTTTCGAGTTTCCGGGTGGCGACTGCTTTAAGATATCCATGGCGAAAGTTGAATACTATAGATCTAAGTATGGAAACGTAAAACGTGAGTAGTTTGAATACAGCATATGGATTAAAATCGGTCGCAAATGTATCAATCAATTAACATCAGTTTCGTACAACTTTACGTTTTTGAGCTAGACTGCTAACACACACACAGACCATTTTGCGGGAAGTGGTTATTTGGACTCAGAGTTCCTCCAGGTGAGGGAAAGTATTGCGATCATAAAAGTTTCCGAATCTGAATTTCTAACAGAAATACATGTTTTGAGGTTCCCTGTGCCAAAATAATTAGATCCCACGAAATCGTGTGTGTCACACTGTGTGAACAGACTCGCCCAAAAACGAAAAGCCGCACGAAACTGAAACTGTTTATTTAAAGATTTGTATATGGCTCGGATGTGATAGCAACTTCTTTGTTAAAATCGGCTAACCGGCAGTGCCACTTTATATCATCGATTTACACATTTTTACTCGAAAGCGGCTCTAACGATTCTGTTTAAACTCGGAGTATTAATGTATAATTAAGTAATCTTTAATATCATTTAGGTCTTATCCCTATTGATGTTGCTTAACAGGGCTTAAATGTCCAATGTTCAAAATGTCTTCCTTTAAAATACCTTTAATTTGGTTAATTTTATAACTATCTCTCATTGTTAGGAGTAAACTGCAATGGAAAATAACAGTTTAATAACCAATAGTCGTACAATCCATAATCAAAGGATCGTATAGTACATAATCAACCCCAAGATCAATCAACAATAGGACCTTTTTTATTTTAATGGTATTGATGATTTGTTTGCAGTAAGCGTAAGCTTTAGCGCGGTTAAAAATGCACTTCAAAACTTTACCAGATAACTAATCCAACATTACCAGAAAATACTTGCTATTCAAAGTAGAGAGATAAGTGAAAGTTGTGAGTTAGAGCACCAGAATGTTTTTAATCACAATTCATCAAGTATACTATTCGTAAATATGGGACTTCCACGTCATTGAAAATCGATTAATAATCTAGAAACTTAAACTATAATAAACTTTTATTCAGAATTTTGTGATCAGATTGATTCAAAACATTCCCGGGATTTTATTGAGTAATTACAGCCATCATAGTTAAAAATCTATCAAACCATCCCTCCAAAAATTGTTACGCGCCTTTAACGGATTGATTAATCAGATTTTACACAGTAATTTTGGGCCCAAATTCTTTCAGAACATTTACAGAACCTCACCGAATAATTTAAGATATCAAACTTAAAATCGAGCCTGTGCTGCTGCAGTGGGGGCGATAGCCGATCTAGGACAAAATTCGTTGAAAGTAAGTTTTGAATTGAAATCACGAGTTCGCCAAAAATAAATACAAATAAAATTTGAATAATCTTAATCAAGTCAATATAAATTTAATTTATAATGAAAATTAAAAATCATAATTTAAAAGAACAAAAAAAAAAATTATCAATAATATTAATAAAGAAATAACCAGTATGGAGTATTAAAATTGATTCAATCTATTTCCTTAATCTTATAATCAACATTAAAAAGCACACTCACTGGCTGAAGTACCTCAGAATCACTTTCTAGCTGCAATTTAAATTTGACTTTTATATTCTTTCGTTTTTTTTTCTTTCCTTGTCTACAAATATGTGCCTCCTCTCCAACCTAAAAAATCCACAATTCCATAAAAATGGTCTCCCTCAAAAATTTGTATGGCACATTTTACATCAAGCAACCCCTTCTGGGCATTCTTGCTATATTATATCCTGTATTTTCCTTTAGTTTTTTCATAGCATGCAGAAAAACATTATTCTGCCTCTCTGTAACCTTGAAACCTGGTGGTTGCATATCAAGCTTAGAAAACATGTTTCAGATATGACACATTTCTTTAAAAATAAAGAAAATTATTTTCTGAGCATTTACAATGTTCAATAAATATAAATAGGGCTACATTGTCTTTAAAATCTGTATAAGTTTTATTATTCATAACATTAAAAAAAATTGAGTTCAGAACTTCTGAGTAAAAAATCATTTGCCAAATAAAATCAAGTGTCCATTGTTCCTAATGCTTAGACTAAAAGGATTCAATTCTTTGGATATTTGAAGGGTATAATAATAATATTTAAAATCATTATTGTTATTTATTTTAACAAAATTATCAATATTCTTAAAGAAAATGGAATAATTACAATAAATAAAAGTTAACTAGAAAAATAATAATAAAATATTATGAATAAGTTAATAAAAAAAAGACAAATTAATATAATAATTAGCCAACAATTAATAACATTAGTCAAACAACTTTTGATTCACAATAGAAACTAAGATAATTTAATAAATCTTCACCAAACATTCAACTTATGATTTAAAATCTAATGGTACATCACTCAAAGTGAAAGGCTAACAATAACTACCATAAATCTATCATATGTATCAAAACGTGTGACGCAGGTCTAACACAAAACTATAAACTCTAGCCACCTTCAACTGAGAATAACTGAAGTATAGTTAAGATAATTATTTTCATTTGCCCTTACTTTAATTATAACTCAGCATTAATAATGTCTAAATAAATAATTGACAATGAAAAAAAAAATTTAGATATTTTTGCTAAACATATCTAGATATTTGTTGGTTTCATGATTTATAAATGAAAAGGAAACCAATAAAAAAAAAAATTGATTCTTTATAAAAATCCATAATTATTGCTAAATTAAAACTCATTAATCAGCATTTGCACCACTTTGCTTCTATATAATGGTTTAATAAAATAAAATAAACATATGTGTTTCATTACTAAAAACCTGTAAGTTAGATCTAAGGAAGGTTTACTTATTACCAAATCAATGATTGCCAAGTTTTTAGTAGGCATGATGACATGGAGGTAAGACAATGAACAAGGTTAGCAAAAGACCACGTCCCAAAGTTTTATCAAGCCATTACTGAGAACAGATACCCCTCCATAAATACAATAGTTAAAAATCTTGATTTGAGAAAGTAATATTTCAACTTTATTTTTTTCAATAAACAAAGAAATAGTAATTTTTAAGAAGAAATAAACTTAACATTAATTTATAATTTTCGAAAGTTGAATTACAATGAGTCAATCAAAAGAATTAGTAAGAGCTCACATAACATTTGTAAATGAAGAAGAGGAGTTAGTTGCGGTGAGCAGTCACAAGTAAAAATAAATATAATTTATTT